GTGAATATTTCTCAAAGTATCACTATCAATCCAACTTCAAGAAGTAATTCATGTGGAGGAAGTCCAGAAGGACACAAAGTCCAAGAATTCTATTGGAACAATGGCAACTTCTCCTTTATCGGAGTTATTTAAATCAACACTTTTGTACAATTTTTGTGGTTCATCAAGTTTTGATATTATTTTGGTGTTAATTTCATTGACCTCTTTGTTTGTAGGTATCAATATTATGCTTTCTGATAACTCTTCAGGCGTCAACAAATTTCCAAACACTTCATTAATAAGATCATGACTCAACATGTTTTTTTGGTATTTCAACATCAACCAATTCTCCATTTCCAATTGAAAGAAGCCACTTGTTGAATTTAATTTGTCCTTCACTTTTCGTGATTGTTGTAAGTCTCAATTTTTTGAACTCTTTCCATATATAAGACTTTTTTACACAACAATCAATGATTTCTGCATTTGACCCAAATGGTACAACGGGTAAAGTTTGAAGAAAGTCACCACCCAATACAACAACCTTTCCTCCAAAAGGCATATTGTTTCCCATGACATCTTGTGAATATTTGTCAATAGCCATTAACACACGTTTTTGTACCATTGATATCTCATCAATGCGAATCAAATCCACAAACACAAAAAATACTGCATCGGGTCCTTCAATAGATAAATTACATTTGGTTGTTTCAGCCAATTTAATGGAAGCTTAAAGTACTATGAAGATTCCTTCGACCCTTTATTGATGTCGAAGCAATCCCAAGTAGTATATAAATTATGTAGATTTAGGGCACCCTCCATTTTCTTCAACTTTTTCAAATAAAATCGCGAGGGGGACGGATCTTTTAGATTCCAAGGCTTAGAGAGCCGCACGCGGATACAGAATTTTCACAAATTTTTGACATCTCTGATGTCTCCAGAATTTCATTATCATTTCAATTCTTCGGAGTAAATTTATATTAATGTTATTCCGTAGTAATTTCATATTAATGTAATTTTTATTTGTCTTCAAATGAGACCTGGTTTTTTACTTAAAAATAAAATTAAGTTTAAATGGTGTAGAATAATATTAATTTTCTTTGAAGAAGTAAAATAACATTTAGCCTCATTGGAAATGTAAAAATTCGCTTAAAACATCAACAATGTCTCAGATTATATTTAAATGTTAATAAGTTTATTCACATCTATATTATTTGTGTTTAGATAATACTTTAATATCGGTATTATTTTTGTAGTAATATTGTCAATTAATTTAAGATGATCTTTTTCCAAATTTTCAAGTTTATTTTTAATATATTCAATATCTTCATTATATTTATCTTCTGATTTCTTTACTTTGTA